TCCTTGCTTCTCCATCTTTTTTAAATTCACATCACTTTTTGCTTGTCCAAGTCTCTTACTCTCTCAGTTCTCTTTGTAACCATGCTGTAATTCAGTGTTGTGGCATTTTAACTGAATTATGATTTCAGTTTCTGAGACAGCAGTATGTGCAAGATGAAGGACAAGATCCGTTTCAATCTAAAGATCGAAAAGCATACTTAAATTAACCTAGTAATAAATATATGAAGAAATGCCACTTTGCTCCCCAGGCTGGTGTATGCAAGCCGAGTATATTCTATCACGAACATATTTTCACAGTTGGGACTGTTTCCTCAGTACTGGCGCTGAAATTGTGTTTTTCAGATCTCAAAACTATTTAAGTATTCCTGGTAGAAATAACCAAGGAAAATGTATATTCAACAAGAGCTTTAACAGTCCTGTCAATCAAAATCAACTTAACACTGGGAAAAATGCAGTGTCAGTGACAACTTCTTTCCTTTGGTGCTTGCCAGCAGCAGAAGACGAACTGAACTGTGGTACGAGGCATGGGCTGAGGGAGACAGGCATCATACACACTCACCAGTCTGAAGCTCGAAGGGCAGGCACTGCGGGCACACCGATTTGAACTCATGTTGGTTCTTTGCCTTGGGAGGTGCCCAGAGCGGGGCATTAGTCATGGAACTGGGTGCCATTACAAATTATTTGAAACCAGGTGCAAAAGATTGGATTGATTGAGTAGGGGAGGAATAATGAAAGCAGCTTCTTAGTTTCTCAGAACTCAGCTCTTCAAGATTAGCTTTAAATAATGTAGTTTGGCTCTAAATACTGTAGTTGTCGTTGAATTTCTTATATCAAAATTACATATAAGATATAGATATTTATAGCTTAATATTTCATAACACATTTTCCCAACGGGAGCCCATAAAGATATTATTCTTTTTACAAGTCTCAGCAGCTCTCCCTGTTCCAGTGAGAATTAGCTGTGGTTTTAATAAGTGATCTTTGAAACAAACAAGAGGAAATTCCTCTGAATACCGTTCTTTCACTACCTTCACAATGAGGAAAATCTACCATCTAGTAAACTATGCATCTGAATTAATCAACGTACTGACTAACTACTCTTTCTCCAGTCAGACAGGAATAAGACTGGTGCATGTGTCACATGGACCAGAGAGAATAATCAGAAATCTTAAAAAACATACAGTTGAGGCACTACTAATACTCTGCAGGGCTCAATTCATCCCATAACACACATTTTTTGTAACTACCAGCCATTTATATGTCCCAATCATCACAGCAGTCACACTGGTTCAGGTCAAAGGTAGCTCTCGCCCAGAATTCTGGCTCCTGCAGGAACACTGTTAACATAAGCCTATTCCTGAACCCCCAAACCTTCCAAAGCCCCCAAAACCAGGAAAAAAAGGGAAACACACACTGTGTGCACATCTTGGTGGATGCTTGATAAGATGAACTAGCATTATGCAGATCAAAATTATAGATGAAGAGGAGGGAGATAAGAGGTAATAAATGCTTTTGTGTATCTGGAAGTAAAAGTGCTTTTCTTCAGAAATAAAACCTGAACAAAAATCAGTGACCAGCAGCAAGTGTCCGAGACAGGGAGAACAGAGCAAACCAACTACGACCCTTCTCTGGTGGAGTGACCTACAGACAGAAGTTGCTGCATCATCAGAAAATGTCAAGCAGTAATCGGGAACCTTGCATGTCTTTGGAAGCTTCTGTTTGGATGGCACTTAGAACAGCATTGTGGAGATGATGAGGCTCTGGTGTCACACAGAAATACAGATCTGAATCCACCAAAAGCTTTAAGGCATCCAGGCACTTTTTTTTTTTTGTTCTGCAGCCCGCATTAGTTACCACGATGAGCTAAAAGCTTCACTGTGATATTTTAAAGTCAACTAGAGTTATGCCACTGATTACAGTAGGGTCACATCTCACTTTGTTTCTCTTTGCTTTTTCTTTGGTTTTGTTTTTTTTTGGGGGGGGTTATTTCTAATTCCACCGTCTTCTATCCTTTTCATTCTTTCAGCCTTTTTAGAAGACCATCAAGCCATCTTTTTCAAGCTAGGTAGCCTGACAAGCTAAGGAAAAAAAGATTTTAGCTAGAAATTCTTCTGCCAACTGATCTAAGATAAATGAAGTAATTTAATTTTCAGATTTTGCATGAAGTGGGTTGGTTTCAATATACAAATCTAACTCACTCCGTTTTGCAGCTATGAAAAGCACTTCTAGGGCCATATTCTGTATTCTCTTTTCGGATGAACAGCACCCAAGGAATACTAATTAAGAGTGCTTGAGGAGTAAGGTAAGCAAGGCTGGCAGAGTCTGAGCTTTTATTTACTCTGTGTTATCTCTGTCCAAATGTTCAAAGCAATATGGGTGGTGGCTGACTGAACAGTTAAATTCAAAACAGCATGTGTGTCCAAAAGGCTGCCAAGTTTCTCATGTATATTCCTATTTGGGAGAAGCTATGCACAGACAAAAAACAATCAACCAGTTTCTTAATTTCATTTTATATCTTTATTCCCATTGTAAGTATTAACAATCATCCAAAAGACCATTTAAATTTGGTCTGGATACACAATAGCATTCATCACACTCCAGTTTCTTTTTTTTTTACTGCAGTTTAGTATTTTGTGATCTGTTTTAGTAGTTCTGTTGTTGATGTATTTGCTTCCAGCAAAAGAGATTTTTCAGTGTTTGCAGATTATTTAAAAAGACTGTTAAAAAAAAATCCATAAAGCAATGATTAACAGTACATTAAAAAAGCTTGCTATCTTCCATTTAAGATTAGTACTAAGTATGTTTGAAGACCTGAAACTTACTTTTTGTTGTGGGTTGTCTTTTCAAAATAAGTCTATTAAAAAAAAAAATGTCATTACAGCTGTTCATTGCAATAACATTTGTAATTGGATTGAAATGCTTTTAAGAGAATAAGGTAAGTAAAACAACCCTACACCGTGAAAGGTTCTGTTTAAGCAAACAATGTTACACACAATGCAATGCTAAGGCAGTATCACAATGTATAAATCAGAACAGATGAAAAAGATAAATTATTTTCTAAATTCACTTGCTTATTATTATGGGGGGAACACACATCACACGTTGTATTTCAGTCTTCAGGCAAAGAAGAGTCACAAAACACAGTCAAATAGACATGGTTCATCATGTCTTTTAAAAGCCTGGGAGACAAATTCCTTCATCAAATTCATTAATGTAAAAGCAAATTCAGAAAACATATTTGTGAAAGCTGTCCTGTTAAATTATGAATACCAATAATAAATTCTTTAGTTGCTCATTTATGTGCATAATCTGCATATGCACAGGCATGAATATATATATATATGAATAAAATATGCCTATTTTATAGCCATACACAGAGCTAATATGAATGCTTATGTGCTTATGTTGTACACTGTCAGAAAAGGACAAATTATTAATCAAAGTAGAGAGGAGCGAAGAAGAAAGCAGATGATGCACGAGAACTTTGTTAGTTGTCTTAGGATGACTTCTGTGTGGAAGAAAATGTGTGCTCTGGATGTAGAACAGTCGGCTAACAACTCTCCATGTAATGAAAGAAGTTTGGGATCGACATCAACTTCTAAAAGGGATTTAAAACAGATATACAGATAGTCAGGTGAAGGGAAAGAGGAAG